GTGCTGCTCCAGTTTCACCAGTACAACCCCCTGCTCTTGGGAACTGGCCCGGATTTGCACCAAGTGCTGTTCTGGGAAATTATAAAATCAAACCAGTTCCTGTTGGTTCTTGTCTGATCTGAGTCAAAACGAGTGGCCAGCTATAAATAGATCTGATTGAGTGACATCTCCATGGCTTCCTGCCTGCCTTTCCTGTGTCTTGGGGCACAAACCCGACTCATTTCATGTGGGGGTTGGTTTTTTTGGGTGCATGACACCAACTTGCCAATGTGGCCATGACCAGAGGAGCCTTGGGCTTCCAGCCCTGCTCCCTGTGCCCAGCCTGTGGGACCACCCAAACCCAAGGGAACACCCAGCACCTGCACCCCAGGGACACAGACTGAGCTGGAAAAGTGAGGTGCTGATAATGGAAATGAATAATGTGGAGGGTCCCTTGCACAGGTTCTTTCAGGTGTTACTCCAGGAAATTGGTTCTCATTTTTGGCTGCATTTGGCAGCGTGGGAGAACAAAGTTAAAGGAGATTTGTGCAGGTCTGTTGAGATTGTTCAGGGTTGCTCAGGTCCACTCAGAGCTGGTGCCAAGGAACAGAGCTGGAGTTTGGAAGAGGAATTAGAGGAGATCCTGAGCTGGTGTGTGGGCAATAAAACCAGCCAGGACAGCAAGACAAACCTTTAAAAGTAAGAACTTTAGAGGGATTATAAACCCTCCTGTTCAAATCTGCTCTCAGGCTTCAGGGGGTGACTTTTCCTCACATCTCAGGACTGGGATGGTTTTTTTCAGCAATTTCCTGCCAGGGCTGATCTGTGGCAGCAGAGCTTGGGTGGCACCATCTGACTCAACCTCTGAGCCCTGGGTCCCTCTCCTGTCTCTGTGAGGGTTTCTTCACTCCAAACTGTGTTTGGAGAGGAAAAACAACCTGTTTATAACAGAGCACCTTGTGTGGGCAGCTGGAAATTCTGTGAGGGCTCGCATGTCATCAATGACTTCTGCCCTCTCATTTTCACCTGGCTGAGCTACTGACAAAGGTGTTCCATTTGCTGTGATGTTCTGATCTTGGACTTTCCAGAGAAGGGATTCAGCAGGTTTGGGTGCAGGTCTCATGGCTGTTTATCCCAGTGGAAAGCAGCAGCTCACAAAGGAGGCCATCGACGTCCCTCTGCCCACTCAGCATTTCCTCTTCCTCATGGATGTGACTCATGAACTGCCAGGCTGAGCCCCAGAGCTGCAATCCTCACTGCTCACCTCCTTCAGCCCGTTTTCCTGGGAGCTGCCCTCCCCTGGGAGCAGGCTGAGGTTGGGCAGAGCTGGCAGCCAGCTGCTCCCAGGAGCTGAACCTGGGGAACCAGCTCTGGGAACCTGTCTGGGCTTTGATGCTTGGAGGCATCACAGGATTAGGATGCTTTGCTTTGGTCCCAAGCACCAGCTCGTATTTGAGCCTCAAGGTGTTCCCATTCACCTCCACGTTCCAGGCTGGCAGCTGTGCCCAGACCCCACTTTGCTCCATTTGGTGAATTTGGTGACAGGGCCTTCACAATTTGGGCTGATTTGAGCTGTGCCTGGCATGGTTTCTGCTGGTCCCTCACCCTGGCTGTGAACCACTGATGCTTCCTGTTGTGGTTTCCTGCCTCAGCTGAGACGCCTCCTCTCTGCTCTCCCTTCCTGTTCTCGTCAGGCCCATTGCAGAGCTTCATGGGCACAACAAATAGGTAGAGGAGGCTCTGGTTGCCATAAATCCAGCTCCTGGCAGCCCTTTGCTGTGGAGGGCTGAGCAGGGCAGGTGTATGGGGCAGAACAGTTCCTCCTGAGCCCTTCCAACACAGAGATCCAGCCAAACCCTTCCCAGCTCCAGGGGGTGCCAGGGGATGGCAGGAGGGCCCTGTACTGCTGGGAGGGATGAACCAGAGCAGGGCTGACCAGAGCAGGGCTGACCACCAGGACAGGGCTGACCAGAGCAGGGCTGACCAGAGCAGGGCTGACCACCAGAGCAGGGCTGACCAGAGCA